GTAAAACCTATCATTTTAGTTGCTGTTTAATTATGCAAGTTTACTATGTTATTGTTTAGTCGGTTTAAATGTTAGAATTTTCTTCTTTAAACTTTAATGTTGTCGTCACTACATCTGGAAAACCACGTAAGAACAAATTAAAAGTATTTTAAAAGAGACCAGGTTGTTTGAAAATCCTAAACGAATGCTAAAAATCGTCAAAACATTCTGGTGATTGAATTGCGATGTAATGTAAACAGAAATTATACCAAGTTGATGCCAGTCAGCTTAGATGGTCCAAGCCAAAATTATATCGCATTTGAAGTTTCAAACTGAGTTAAAAATAGTGGAAGAAAAGCCGTAATTATACTTATTGCTACAATCCATTTAATAAAATGCAACATTTTTTTGTTTTAATGAAAAAATCAGTTATTTTCATGAGAACGATTTGTTATTCCATCTCAATTTTTTTAATTTCCAATCGCAATAACGTAAAGTATTATTACCCGCGAACCAATGAGTCAAATTTAAGAAACAACCCACTGTTAGAAAGCTGAATGGCTACGCTTTAAAATGAATGTAAACTTTAACGTTTTCGTCTATTATTTGTTTAGCAATTTACATTTCAGTCGAGGATTGCGCTTTTTTTGATACACCCTGTACAATGAAGTACTCTTGGATACTGTAATCTAAATACATATGAGAATGGAGAAGTGGCATTTATCGAACAGAGAAGCGGCGAGCCATTAAAATGGCGGCAATTTGACGAAATATCGAAGGACACAATATCGAAGATAAAATACACTGCACTGTTTCAAAAGTGGATGAAACCTTCTTTGAAATCTTCTTCATCCATTTATGATTATGTAAAAGTACAATAACTGGATGATATTTGCGAGATTCGGCGATAAAAAGCAAACAAGACGGCAAAATATTGCTGAAATCGTGTTTTCGTGGGGGGTAAGTGAAATAAAATGTATTATATTAAAAGAAAACAATGACAATCCTTATGAAATACACAGTAATTATATTGAACTAAGCATAGTTTATCATCCCATGATATTTTTTTAGGAAATAAGAAAATTTAATTTCTGCCAGGCATATTAGTTATTTTGTGCATAATCAGCATTTTACCTAGGGTGAAATTAATTCCAGGCTTGGAGTTGTGTTTTGGACAGCCTGTTGATCCTGCATTCCTGAAATTGGTCACGGAAGAGGTCGCAGAACTTCGTATGTCTGTTAAAACCTTGGAATTTGAAAGTGAATCACAAGTTAGAGGAATTTTCTTTCATGGCCTTTAACCATTATCAGATGAATAGTAGGAACAGGCATGGGACAACTGTCGTTACTCGTTAGTATAAATTTTGCATGCCAAATGAGCTTTCGCGCGTTTTGACTGGCTAGTTGACTAGTAAATCTGACGCAATATATTTACAAGCGGACTAGTAAATAGTGCTTTTCAAAAGAATGATTCGGAAAACTTGGTTTCAAAATCGATGAAATATTACAATTAAAATTGTCGTATAAGAAAACTAGACAAGCCCAACATTTTGTGTTTTAACTTGAAAGGTAGAAATATTTTTTATTATTTTACTGTGTCAAACACATTTACGGACAATTTAAACGTTCTCTTCAAACATTGTCTATTTAGCGGAAAGACTATCCTGATGCTGGCATAAACCTTGCTGTAATATTTTTTTAAAACCATTTTGTTTTGTATCGTATACATTTTAGTTTTTCTTTTGATATGTCATATTTTTAATCTGATGTACGGTGACGGTCACGCTGTATTGTGTTTTCGAAACTTGTAAAAAGAAGTACTATTTAAAACACGACCAGGAGCCTTATGCGTACGCAGTATGCGTACAAAAAACACTGCAGCACTAAAGCAGTAACCGTGAATCGGCTGAAAAGAGTTTTATTTGATTATTTCTGACATATGGGCATTTTGTTTTATTTCTCGACTTCGTCTCGATGAATATTCAACGATAATCACTTCGCTTTCGTCGAATAATTGTTAAATATAAGCTACACTGTATATCATTGATAAAAAATTAAATACCTTTTATTCTTTTCGATAAAAGTTGAAACACATTGTGCTAATAATTTCAGCAGAGCTTTGCATCACGATAAAGATAAGATAATAAGATTATCCACTTAGTCGATCCAAGTATATAGCGCTAAACTTTAACAAGAAATCGTGAATTTAGACTTGATTTGTAAAACTTTAGCCTTACGATGATACATCATTGTCTAAGCACAAAGTTGTTGGCATTCGCATTATCGCATATTATATTAAATGAAAATTCCGTGACTGAGAAAATCAATGCCATTTCTCTGATAGTCTACGTACTTCTGTCGCAGTGCATGTAGCTTTGGAGTGACTTCATCTTCTTCCTGATCCTGTTAACCATAAAAATATCTTAGGAACCCTCGAAAGTATCCACTTTTTAAATGTAGAACAGAACGTTTTATCCCATATTGTGTCAAAAAATGGGATTCAATTGAGATGACCCACTCAAACTAATGTGCTTAATCTAATCTTCAAGTCAGTAGATTTTTATATATGTGTATCGTTAACTTTTATAACCTTTCAACTTGTAAATAGTAAGGCTACTTTTACCAATTTGTAATTTCAAGTTTTTGTGGTTGCTGGCTATGCCATGTACCTGCCATTTGGAAATTTTAATAAATCATTCATTCATGTCATTTAATTTGATCCATTGCGTTTCTGGCGCGAGAAAAATCGTACCCCCATTTTAAGCACCCGTTAAGCATGTGTCTTAATTCATGAAGTCTGCATGTTGTAGCATCGGAATCATTTAACATGGTATTTTTATTAAAGCTGAAACCTAAGGCTATTGCACTAAATTTTTTATAATGCATGCCAGCTTAATTTAAAGTCGAGATGCAAAGCAAGGGTTGTTGGGATGTCTGGAGTACACAGTATATAGACTGTATGTGTTTTGTTTACCTTTTGCCACGTAAAGACTAGTTAATATTTAAATTGTTACAATATACTTATATATTTGCAGATGAATACATTCCTTGAGAAACTTGGTAACATACAATCAAACTTTGATAACGAGTTACGTGAGCTACTTGGCAGGATGGAAAGATATGAAAAGCGTGAGGCAGAGAACACGAAGGAATTAAAACGTCTTCACGAAGACGTTGAAAAGGTCAATATGGAACTCTCAAAATATTATCACAAACAGGAAGAAAAAGTTCCTTATATTTTCGATGCTCCAGGCAGAAACCAATATTTCTCCGGGCGAACTCGAGAACTTCAAGATCTTCAACGTATTCTAAATCTTGACGGTACTGGGCTGGAAAGGAAAGTTTGTGTAGCAGTCTGTGGTTTGAGAGGAGTCAAACTTGAAGTCTCTCCCAATATCTTAAAGTTTCTTTACGACGTTACAACACAACACGTCTCAGCAGCTGTTGTTATGATGACCAGAAGAAAAGAAAGTAAACTTGTTGACGAGATATTAAATCTTCATAAAGATCGTTGTCTTAGTCTGAAATGTCTAAAAGAAGAAGAGGCTAAGCAGTTTATTTTTTGCAGGACTGGGTTGACTCGCGATGACAACACGAACAGTGTCGCCGAAAGTCTAGTTAATGAGCTGGGAGGATTGCCACTCGCTCTAGAGCAAGCAGGAGCTTGTATTAAAGCACTACGTTGCAACCTATCTGACTACCTTGAGCAATTTCAAACTGAACGCTTGACGCTGTTGAGAAGAGAGAAAGCAAACCGTGTATTATTCTTTGAATCACCTGAACGCCTGGCGGTTCACACGACATGGTTATTAAACATCAAACACATAAGAGGGAGCCAGGATGGCGAACATGCCATCCGACTCATGAACGCTTATGCACTCTTTAATCCAAACGAGATCGAAAAAGAATTAGTCAATGTTGGTGAACGTCCAATTGAAGACAAAGCATTTCGTGATTGTATGAGCTCACCTCTGGGTTGTCGTCAAGTTGTTAAACTGCTGAATGATTTTTCACTTTTCACGTATGTCCATGCGCATTCTGTCAGTACCCATCGCCTAGTTCAAGAGCTAGTCAGGGAAGATCTTGACCCTGAGGAAAAAGCTAAAAGTTTTGTTGATGCAGTACGCTTGCTTTCCTTCGCATTTTCTAAATGCGTATCTCCAAAACATCTACTGGGTAATGTTGGTATGGAAGAACGCTTGAAAGCCTATGATTTGCCAAGAAACCATTCTCAATATTACTTGTGGTCTAAGCTTTGTTTTCATGCCTTTCATCTTCAGCAGAATATGGAAAAATTACTGGCAAATCCAGATCCAAAATGTCTAGGTTCGCTTTTTGTTTTCGAGACAGCCAAAGTTTTTTATGAATGCGTTGTTTATTTAAGTGCTAATCAGAAACAAGAAGAGGCTAAACGAACGCTAAATTTCGTTTATCGAATACTAGATTGGGTTTCCGTAGAAGAGTACGACACAATACAAAACAGTCTTTCGAATAACTCTCTGTTTTCTTTCCATGTCATTCCTTTGCCAAAGTGGCTTCAGATTGTGATAAAAAAATGTTTTGTACCTCCTATGTGTCCCCTTCAACCTCTTGACCAAAAGCCTACTGAGTCGCCAGATTTAGAGGGGGACATAGATAAGCTTAAATTGAAGGGAAATAAGAATTTTATCGATGGTCTCTACAAAGAAGCAATAGATGCTTATTCTGCTGCCATAGATATGAGTAGAGGTACAACTGTCTTCAACGCTTTATTGCTGACCAACCGTGCTTCAGCTTATATCAAGCTTAACCAACTTGATGACGCTTTGAAAGATGCAAATGAATATATATCTCGATTTCCAGATTGCTGGAAGGGGTATGCTAGGAAGGCTTTGGCACTTAAGAAAGTCAGTGCTGGAATTGCTGCAGCACTGGCTTATTACTATTTTTACCTAAAAGATGGTAGATGTATTTTTTCAGAATATAAGCCATTCAAAGGATCGTTCCCAGGCCTAAAGGAGCGTATCTCTATATGTCATACTCCAAATGACTTATTGGCGATACTGCTTTCACAAGAAAGCAATACACAAGAATGTCTGCGGGTTATAATTTTGGGATCAAAGGAGTATATTTTAGAGATGGATATGTTTCTGCCTGTTGTCCCGATGAAAAACTGCATCATAATTGGTGCAAAATCCAATGCCTCTATCACTTTGAAACTCGAAGGTAACACATTGCTTCACTTGTCTGAAAACTGTATGCTTGCAAATCTTTCTTTTGCTATTGACGAAGGTCAAATCATAGGTTTGGGTGGTTCTTTTGTTCATATCCTTAACTGTAATTTTACTTCCAATAGTGATAATTTGGCAGCTGTTGTTACTATCGATGAGTTTAACGCAGAACGATGTAATTTTACTAACTGCAAAGCCGGTGGACTGCTGTGTATGGGACCTGGTGGTAATATGGTTGTTGATGACTGCACATTTTCAGCTAATGTGAGATTTGGCTTAGAAGTGCGCGAAAATGGAATACTGACAGTGAGGAATAGTCGCATGTATAACAACGGTTTGGATGGCTTGGCGATAGGACCAAGGGCGGCAAAATGTGACGCATTTGATTGTCAAATTTATAACAATGCACGCGAAGGAATTGCTGCCGTTGACGATTCCAAGTGCGTCACCCTCGTGAGAAATCGTGTTTTTGAAAACTACGAGAGTGGTATATTTGTGAGGAATTCGGAAGTTGATTTAAGAGAGAATAAGTTTTATGATAACGAAGCTTGGGGTATTTGGTTGGACAGTTATTATCGGTGGAATGTGTCAATGAATGAAACTTTCCGTAACCAACTTGGAGGAGTTCGTGTTGGAGGAAAACGGCGCACCGGAGAAGAATTATCTCCCTCAGTTGTTGAATTGAACACGTCCCATGATAATTTTGGCCCTGGATATGTTGACAGCGTTTACTCTATTGATGACTATCTTCGTTTTCCAAAAACAAGTGGTGATTGTAAATCTGCAAAATACGATCAGAATGTTGAGTACAATAACGAAGAAAGAATTACTGGTAAACAATGTAGACTGTGCTTATCTTGCTGTTCTGCGTGCTTTCGAAAGTTTAAAGATTTGAAACAGTGTGGTAATTGCTTCACTGCTGGGTATTGCAATCCAAATTGCCAAAAAAGACACTGGTTAAAACACAAGAAATTATGCATGGTCTTACGCGAGAAGTCCAGCTTTTTGCTCTCTTCGTTGACGAAGCGCAATTCTCACGACGAGATGGTTCTTAAGGCTTATATTCACACGATAAGTGTTGATGGTGTTGGACCAAAGTACAGCCCTCCTCCACCACGAGATGGGAAAAGATTCATTGTTAAAGTGCAACTGGATTTCGATCGTACCATATCTATGATTGGGGGAACACCGTACACGCTTCTCATTTACGACCGAAGTCTTGATGTTCTCCAAACCATTCAAGATGATTTTATTCGCCGTCTTGTGAAAGATTTTGGCGTCCTTTGCGAAAGGAAATTTCGAGAGAAGAAGCTCTGCCTTCACTGCGCATTTGACAAGACCGGTGAGCTACGATTTTTCATCAATGATTTTGCTGACTTTCAGAAATGGTAGACTTTTATGCACATCATGAATCTGAACACTCGAGAAAAATGCATGTGAAAGTTAATCGGATCAGTCGCTCCCACACTGATTGACTGTGCACAATTATACCGTGAAAACCTTTACAAATATCAAAGTTTCACCTGAAAATAGGAATATTTTTCTTTCTATGACTGTTCATCTTTAGATGCAACCGATTGTACACGTGCTTAAGACGGAAGTGCAGTTTGCAAGTGAGAAAGGTACAATAATGAGATACATTCGTATGATTGGCCAAACCGCAGCCTGAGTATCAGCCTCTGTTACAAATAGAGCTTGACACAACCTGGTCGCTCGGATGTGGTGGTAATTTGCATAGGTAAATCATGAAATCTCGTGAGAAATTGCACGTGAACATGAACACTTTGTACAATACAATACAGCGATTCGGTTTTAGTAACACTTCAATTTGTAATGCTGTCGACTATGCATGTCATAAAACTTAATTTCGAATGTAATTACTATATGAAATTCTCAATAGAATATTATCTTCAGTTGTTTTTTATAAGATGGATTCTTTTAAAATTTCTAACTAAAGAAAACACTCCACAATATTTTACCTGCGTTACAATAATATTTGCGTTTTAGGTTTCATATGAGATTGGCAAACGTTTGTTTTTATTGTTACAGCGAGTCAACATGTAAACAGCGACCCTTCACACGTTCAAGAGTCAGGCTTCACACGTTCAACAGAGAGGCTTGCACTGACTGTACAAGGAAGGGGAACACCAACTAAAACTTTTTGTCCTTGGCTCATGTAAATAGCTTTGGCCAAATAGAAATAATAGTTAGTTAGTGGCACGTATGATCACCCGTGACAGTTACTCATACAATGGCGGGGCGAGAAACTCTTGAACTTAATTGATAAAGAAAGTCCAGCATCGCTGATTGTTTTTATTATACTTATTGCATCCTGTACTGGAGATAAAATATTTTTAAAAATAAAATGTTTTTCCGACCACCTACCCTTATAAAACATGGCTGTGAAACCTGAAAGCAACTATTATTTTTATTTGGCCTAATTGTAGTGCGAACGTTCAGGCTGGATCCATGGCACCTGCTTAGATAGGTAGAATTACACCTAATAAAACTGCAATACTAAGAATTTTAAAAAGGCTATCTACCACATTTAACATACTGTCTAGCAGTTTACATAAATGGTTCGATCACGTGGTTTGATCTCTCAATAGCTCAAGCATTTTTTCTCATTAGATAATACAATAACTTTATGTAAATCTTTACGAGACTTCCCATTATATCCGGCGTATACTATAGGTGAGTACAGATGTATGGTATTCAGTGCATTAATTTACTTCACCAACGACGTTATTTCAAAATTTCAAATAAATTAAAATGCATACTTCCTGGATTTTTTGAGCGTTAGGTTTCTTAAACGATTACATTTTCCCACGGTTTACCACGGTCATCATGGATTTATTAGACATATTTAGATCGAGGACGCATGTCAAAGACGACGTGAAAATGGCGTGTTGTGCCCATGTATGGATATGATACGCCATTTTTACGCCATTTTCACGTTGTCTTTGACGTCCGCGTCCTCGATCTAAATCTGTCTATTAGCGAGCTTAAGCAAGCGACGTTTTTGTCAACACGGACGTCAATGACGATTGCCGAGAGGGGACTGGATTAAAAATTGTGTGTATCTGGTAATCGTCAACACATATGACAATTTGACAAAACATAACATTTCTAATATTTTTTGCTTCCTTACACGAGCGCTATATGATGCAAAATGCCGGCAAAATTATTTATACCAATTTTCGGGTGACGTCCGTGTTGACAAAAACGTCGCTTGCTTCAACTCACTAATCTTTGGTTGTGACCGCCGTTAGAATAATAATGATAAAGATAATTCGTGAATAATTAGTAATTTCACTTCAATCGCCCATGTCCTGTAACTAAGGTTTGTTTAGGCCATATAAATATTGGATCTAGAATGCGTGCTTTGTCACGTGACCGGTGTCCAAATTGAAAACAAAAATGTCAAAATGTCCTTATAAATCCACGATGTTGAATTTGAGTAGGAGTGCAAAATACAAAGATAAAGTTTAAATAAAGCTAAAACTAAGTTTTCATTGTCAGAACGTTTTGTCTTGCTGTCTAATTTGTAGTTTGAGGATAGATTGTAAAATTCGAGTTCTTTTAGCTCAAAGCCTTTAGCAATGTACAGTTACAAAAACGGTGAAAATCGTGCAGCCTTATAAAAACAAAGTAGTTTCGAGTAAATATAATTTAATAAAACATTTTTGCATGCTCTGAACGTAACTGTTTTGCTATAATATCTTATGTAATTACGAAATGA